AGGGCGGATCTGCGAGGATGGCTTGGTTGACCTGAAGGGAATTCGATCCAGGATCTCACCTGTGGAATAAATATACAGCGCCTTCTGTCGCTACATCACTACGGCCTCGTGTTGGTGCATGCCTTGCCGAGCCTTCTGCCATATCGCTTGTGATCGGTACGCCTGAATAAAAGTGGTATAACTACAACCGCTTCATCACATTGAAGGTATCTGTGAAACCTAAAAGTGACCGAAGACCACTAGGGAACACTAGGCTCCGTATACCTGAGATGGGGAAGGCGGGGCTGCGTATTCGGTTGGAACATGCGCACTTCATCGGACTTCTTGTGGAACATTTCCAATCGAAACAAGTTTAATCCTGTCATGTGTTGAACACAGATGTTCCAAAATGGAAAGGTAGCATCAAAAGGGCTGCCTTCTCCGCGGTCAGATGAGTTGTGCCGCCACGCGCTCCTTCATATCCCGGACATGAAGTTTAAGTGGAGTTTGTCAAGACTTCACAATACTTACTGCCACTGAAGAAACTAACGATAATCAAAAAAAGGATGATGATGAGACGAGCGGAGTGGCCTCAGAGTACAGCATCGTGATGTGTGAAAAGGTGGTTTCAGTACGACCCCCTCAAGCGAGGGCCTCGGTACGACACCCCCCCCCTTCCCCAACACCTACCTACCAATTTCCCACATTTTCCAGTTTTTCACCCGAAAATTTCCCGTCGAGCGGGAGGGGGATGGGTAATATAGCACACATGAATGGAAAAAAAATCACCTAAAGACAACCACCGGGAAAAACTGTCTCCCAACGCGGCAAACTCCTCTCAAAGTCACACACGATCCCCGCTTCCTCAGCTGCCAAGGGAGACACCACCCAATGTGTTTCTCACAACGATACTGTACCCTATGTGGCCTTGAGCATTGGGATCGGGTGGACCAATAATTGATAACCAGTGATAACCTGAGACCACTACGACAAGTTGATACTCACCTTATTCTTTATTTTTCCTGAAAGTCTGCTTCCATACATCTGAGATACAACGAACGACCTGCACGTGTCCTACAAGTGACTGTAGGTATCATTATCCCTATAATGTTTGTTTTCTCCAATGTCGCCATTTGATCGCAGTGATTAGCCGTCAGTGACCTGTGAAATCGAACATGGCGTAACAACGGATCAATGGTGCTGAACACCGAAATGATAGACGTGCGAAAAAAAAGATCTGGAAAGACGAAAAGGGGAGCATTCGAAAGACGTTCTGCCCCTAACTAGGATGGCTACCATGCAGTAGAGCTCAGTGGAGGCCGAACTAAATTGTACAAAAGGGTGTTTTGGGTGAACTTCGGCTTGGTGGGCAGACCGAATGGCACTCAGCGTAATCTATTTCACCAGGCACATATGCACCTGATTTTCACAGAGGATCTGTTCGAAACAGCTAGGTGCCAGCCTCAACGGAAAATTGTTCCTTCTTGGACTACTATACTTTTTCACAAGAATGCTGCAGTTCGTGCAGTAAAAAACAAAAAAACTGGTCTAAAACTTGTAGAAATCGCTCAGCTTGCGTTCACTGGCGATATGGCCTAACCGCTCATGCACGCTGAACGTTCCACGTGAAGGTGCATCGAACGGCACACATGGCACAAATAGGCGAGCTTGAGCTGAGAGGCTCAAAATGGGCCCGCTAGCGTACCAGGTGTAACGCAACTGCCCGATGTAACCTAGAACCATCGCGGGTTCGAGTCCTGCCCGTGGTCTCGATCTTCTGCCATACTCAGATATTCTATGTAAGATAATTTCGCTATCGCGCGACTGCGGTACCCGTAAAACGAGGAGTTATCAAACAAAAACAGTCTAAAACTTGTATTTTCCTTTCGAGTAGACAAAGACGCAGCTAACGTGAGGGCTACCCAGAGATCTAGTGGGGCTCCTATGAGTTAAAGGAGTCACTGTCAGTTGAAACTGATGATTTCCCTATCGAGGACTAGCTGAGCGATTTCTGGTTCGTCTGGCGCTCTGGCCGAAAGGCAGGCGCCCACGTATTGTTTGATGTTTGCCCTGGACTATTCCCTCGCGATATCATAGCCTTCTAAACTAGCCTGGAGGTGCGTATGCCCAGCTAGTTTAGTGCATCTGATAAAGGTCGAGAACGATTAGCGCCCGTGCGCCTAGTGAAAAGTCGGCCGGTCAGCCCACCTGAAGCCAGCACAGGGGTGCTCATAAGGGGCTTTTCCAATGATTTTTATTCTGTTTTATCTTTCATACTGGATCCAAGGTATTATATGACCCTCAATACTCATTACTTTGGAAGTGGGTCACCCTTCAAGATCCTAAGCAATGCAATTGTCCGCAGCCAGGTTCGGGCGCGGCCCGCGGTGACAGTTCCATCTTTTTCACAGGCAGGTGCCCATCCCTCTCGTACTTTGCGAAGCTGAGAAACCAGTGGATCCTCCACCTTTCGACAGAGCCTACGATAATTCGCGAAGATGTGGGGACAACATCGAAATCAGAAGGCGGCGCTGGCCTTTGAAAGCAAAATTGGCACGATAGATGTGCGTACGACTCCGATACGTCTGAGGCTCGGCAAGAAGACTGACTTCGCATTAACACCAGCGCTCTTTCCAACAATCAAGATCACCGTTACTAGCGACTAATCAAGGTGTGAAATGCACTAAACCCTTGCGGACCCGCATCGCCACCAAAGCGGCGCTTGCCAGTCACATTACCTGGTACTCCTTATCGCCTATTCAATAAATGGATATACACTTGCCTACGAGCGTTGCTAGAAATTAGCGGGAGCCAAAAACAAACACGACACTCAGCGAGCATCTCACATCATCCAAGCTTGCTTCTTAGCCTAGACAAGAGACATTGATCATCGACTACCTAGGAGGAAGATAGCCAGAGATGCTGCTTGCTAAGCAGCAGAGTACGGTTCTGGTCCAATCACCACACCTACACCAAAATGATGAAGCCGTCCCAAGTTGCCAGCCAGTACTCAGAGAAGCGCCTAAAGGGCAATCCACGTGCGAAGACTTCTGTGAGGTGGAGCAGGCACGATGGGACAGCACCTATCCTGGGGATCCTGCACTACTTATTCGGACACGTCGACCACGAGACCTCGGACAAACGTAATAACGGACAGATATGAGTCTTCACCCACATATGCTCCAAGGCCGCGATATGGTATGGACGCGGGAAGTCCTGGGATAGGGAGGAGCAATAGTCTTTTTTGGGCGGCCACGGACTGCAACGCCGGAACGCTGACGAGTTATACGATCAAACTCGTGGACCATATCCGCACTATTCGTATCGTCAGCCATCATGGAGAACTTGTATTCTACAGGATTGGGTGTCACCACATGGATCGAGCGGGTAAACCTCTTGAGAAAACTTCTCCTACTTTGGATGGCATACGCGCTGAGAATCTTGAAAGAAGACGTATTCACTCCAGGTTGCTGTCACTTACGTATATTTATTTATTCACGAGTAGCCTTCGTGTGATAACTGTATCCCACAAAAGAAAGTCACGCAACTCCAAAATTCAATGACACTCCTAGGAATTTATAGCTAACTATCAATAATAAAAAATATGTAAAAAAGCTCACCAACCAAGAATCACATAATAGCCTATATAAAATTTAGGACGCAGCCACGTAATGCTTCCGTAAGAAAGAGGATAAAAAAAGAAGAAAAACTTGTTAGGACGCAAGCCGATTTATTCGCTAACCCTTTCCGTACTCACAAATCTTTCAAGGTGCGCTGGCTAAGATACTCACGCCTATTGGACACTTTTTTACATAACTTTGGAATAACGGCACTTACCTGTGACGTGCGAAGAAAATTTCGCGGCCGAAACTTCACACTTGAGCCCGAAACCACGAGTCAAATGTTTCATCCCTACGCTCTTGTGATTCGAGTCCGTGCCTCTTATCATCCCCTCGATTAGCGCAGGAATTACAGCGGGTGATTATAGAGACCGGCGTGCAGAAATCTAGGAACTAATGGCACGACCATGCTCAGGTGAGGTGGACAATCTCTGCAGATCGCGCGTGCCTCCAGAAGGCTGTGGCGAACATGTGATAGTCAATGTGCTGTTGAAAGCGATGAATGGTGGAAACGTTCAGTCAGATTCAACAGGTGCAAGCCTATAGTGCCTTCGAAGGGTTCGAGGAAGAGCAAGTTTGTCCTTTTTTTTCTCCCCCCGTTGATTATGTGACAGTACATATGTGGATACGCGCAAGCCGGACCTTGATCAAAGCGAAGCTGACCGGGCATGCGATTGCCAAAACTCGTCTGAAAATTGCTCGCTGATGCTCGCACATGGATGGAAACTTCTCTCGCCAAAGCTATTTTGGCCGTTTGGTTTCGCTTTCGTCTGCCTTTTTTTTCGTCATTTTCCAATACCTAGCTCCACTTTTTTTACGAGCAATTACCAATCATTCGTGTCTTTCAGCCGTGGTTAAGGAAATAGAACAGGACTTGAGATTCCGCGAATACGAATCTCCGTTAAATGATATCCATGACGACCATACTCGAAACCAAAACAGGCTGAAGCTGTTCAAGCCCCAGAACGAGGGATACACATGCAATGGCAAAATTTGTCTCATCGATGGCTTCTCCAGAGGAACTGGCAACGATCTTGGAGAAGATCGCTAGACTCGATATTTTGTCGTATTGACACCTCATGTCAAGATTACAAAAATAGCCGTTCGCGATTATTGCGGGTCTAGAGCTTATCGGTGGGACTGGGTCGTACAACTGAATCGCTCGGACACAAACTTTTAACTCTGCTTTACCAATGGCCACATGAAGCAGCCAGTAAACCCCACAGCTGATCACACACATGGGGCTTCGAGGCTTCAAGTCTATAAAACTCATTCGAGCTAAAAAAATCAAAAAAAGTCATAAATTCCGATCAGATTCCACAAAGTAAACATCAGATGAACACTGGTATTGTCAGTGATACTAATCATTTGCTCAGATTTATTCAATGGAAAACGGTCAGTCTAATCGTCACAGTCGTCTGGTACATCCGTATCTACATCGTACACCACCTTTGGAGGTGGCGGACGTCTATTTTCCACGACTACAACAGGAGGATTCTGCTGTTGTTGTGGACTACGCACGACGACAACAGGTGATTGTTGTTGTGGCTGTTGCTGATTTCTCAAGACCACAACAGGTGATTGTTGTTGTGGCTGTTGCTGATTTCTCAAGACCACAATAGGTGATTGTTGTTGTGGCTGTTGCTGATTTCCTAAGACCACAACTGGTGATTGTTGTCGTGACCCCAGTTGCTGTTGGTTGGCTGGATTTCCCACGATTACAACATTTGGATTTGGTTGTGGCTCTCTCACCACTACAATTTGTGGAGATCGTTGTCGTCCAGACATATCCAAACCATTTCCATTTCCATTTCCACCAGAGCCACCATTTAAATTAATATAAAGGTTTGTCGCTTGTGTTGTCGCTGGAGTTGTTGTCGGTTTATTGCAGTTCAGCACGTATGTCACATAATGTGGCGAGCTGGCGACAATCTGTTTCATCCAAGAGTCCACCTTAAAAATCATTGTAACTCGAAATACATCAGTGGCAACTTAATGTACAGAATGGGCACAACTCATGGCAACAACACTTTGGGACCTTCATCGGTATGGTTGAAATGGTGGTGTCTGCACAACCACCCGCAGGATTTCTCGACACGTTCGACCTTACCCAAATTTTCCCAAAATAATGTTCTCGAGCGAAAGGGAGGGGGTAGATCGGGAAAGAGAAGAACTTTCTGACGGCCTACGCCATTGCGATGACTCGACGTGCATTCATACAGTTATCAGCGCTGGCGTCCCTGCGCCAGAATAAATTCTTTGCCGGCTTTTTTTTAGTCCCCAGCAGGAACGGCGCGCGCAGTGACAGCCACGGTTGGTATCTAAGTAACTGGTGTTCTTTTGAAGAAACTTTCTTGTTCTCGAAATGTTCCTCAGATGTCTTCGATGTCCTAGTGAGAATCAATCCCAAGCCATTTTTCATCGTCAACCCTCAAGTTACTGATCTTCCTCACTTTTTATCGACAGCACCATCAAATTTGAAGCGCATTAGTAACAGGGGTCAACATAGGGGTTTTCGGCTGGGCAGGGAGGTCGTACTCCGGCTAAGAGGTGGGGTCGTATGAGGCTTTGAGAGAAATTTGGAAAAAAAGTTCGCGGTTGTTGACTTTTCCGCTGTGATTATTATCCTGTTTCATGCGTATTATACCCCCCAACCACCTTCCATCTCCCTCTGCTGGACGGAAAGTCCCTGGATGAAAAACAGGAAGTGCTGGGTGCTGGGGAAGAGGGAGGAGGTCGCACCAAGGCCCTCTCTCGAGTGGGGTGGTCGTACCGGCCCCGCCATTTCGCACACCACAATGCTGTACCCTGACTAGTAGCCCGGTGGGCTTTCATTCCGCTCAGCCGCGCATCGCTGTGATCATAGTGGACGCGCGATGGATGCGTGCCGTCACTTAGTTTTTTTGTCCTCCGTGAATTTTCCTTGCCCATCCAGATGCCCCTCCCCTTCTCCCAACAATAACCACCAGAATTTGTAATTCAGTTTCCGATGACTGCAGAACTAAATAGCGCGTCAGAAAGGGAAAATGATTGAGAACATTAGCTCAAGTGCAAATGCTCCTCCTAACTGGGTTCGTCATACCTGAATAGGTGCGGTAGTGACTTCTTCATTTTCGAACGTGGGACCATGGTGTATTTCTGTAACATCGATGATCGCATAAATAACTTTTCCCGAGGTTCTAGTTTTTCTTTTTCTTGTGTACTACAAGACTTCTTGAATGGTAAGCTGTCATAAAACACAGGTTCAAGCAGTTTTTGGTATGGCGGAATCGTCCACGTCAATACGGAAACTTGAAACTCTGTGGAACTTCGCCGTTAAATGCTAAACAAGCATGAGGACGTAGGCGGACAGAAGGGAGGGGGTACCAGGACATGCATAGATAACAAGCCGACGTGAAAATAAGTTCCAAATCACATTATGTCCCTAGGAGAGAAGAAAATTCTCTCAAAAGCAGGAGATGATTTTATCGCTATACGCTTCTGCTAACTGGAGGGTAGGCATGGCGTGACCAACTGTCACCGAATTCATTTCCCTCAGAAGGCAATGACGGCAGCGCTAGTAATTGTCAATCTCATGTTAGCAGCGTCACGGCACGGGAGCGCAGTCTGCGAGCCCGATGAGGCTTACTTGCATCGACGGATTCCTTCCACAAGCGAGATGTGGGGCTGCATCGGCTGCGGATTCTTGTTTTCACGCAGGACTCAAATCACAATCTATCTCTCAGATTAGGAGATCGTCCCGAATCGCCATGAATTATAGTCCACCCTGTACTAATGTACTCAGAAAGCTGTGGGCGGCACAGTTCGCGCAATACCTTGTAACAATCAGAATTCTCAATGGTGAACGTATAGGCAAATTTGCCGTTGTGATTTGTCCAGGAGTGCTTTGTGAGATCACCGAGCAGGTTGCCGTACTTTTCAATCTGAAACAAATTTTGAATTTCCGATAAGACCTAAGCGAACAAGAAGACGGGCAATTTGTTACTGACCAGTGTTTTTGGCCAATAGCCCATGTACTCGTTGATTTTAGCTGGATCAAATACAGCATCGGTGACTAAAATGACATCCGCCGTGTCGGGCCCTCTTCCGACATATATAGGTTGCGGTACTGGTGAGCATGCCTTCAAACAGAATAAGGTCAGCTTCACAGTATTTCCGTTCCTTTTCACTTTGTCGATTTTGCTTAGATTGAAATTCGGCACACTTGGGCGACGTGCTGAGGGCATTTTGCACTTTCGTCGCTCCACAAATTCCGGTTTACCAGTGCAACTCTGGTTAAGCCTGTGAACTTTGGTGAAGCTGGAGCAAACTCGCCAAGCCACCATGGTAAACAGGGTACAGCATCGTGATGGGTGAGATGGTGGTGTCAGTACGACCCCCGCCCCTCTAAACCTACCTACCAATTTCCCACATTTTCCAGTTTTTCATCCAAAATTTCCAATCCAGGGGGTGGGGATATAGCCAGTGTGAAATGGGAATATTTCGTAGATTTCCCTCACTTTCCTACCACTTTTTTAGGAACTTCCTGCGAATTTTCCTACTTTCCCCAATAAATTTTGCTGTCGAGTGGGAGGGGGGAGGGTGTACATAGTACATACCCTCGTCATCCGGGCACTTGATTAGGGCGGTCGTCAACGGGCCGCAGCGCGTGCCAGGAACTATTTGCTTTTTCCAGCTATTTAGTCATTTTTTTCCCAACTTTTCACTGTTTTGGCTACTTTTTCCCAGATTAGCAGCTATCTTCACAAGGTGGAAAAAATGACTAAATTAGCCTGGAAAAAGCAAATAGTTCCTGGCACGCGCTGCGGCCCGTTGACGACCGCCCTAATCAACTGCCCGGATGACGAGGTATGAAACAGGAAAATCAGGAGAAAACGGTCGGGAAAACCAACGCAGCAACTGTCTCAAAGCCGCATACGACCCTCCTCTCTCCCAGCAACGACCAAACACGCAAACACGACACCCTCCCCTCCTCCCTCCGCAGAGGAAAAGTACGACCTTCCCTAGGTGTTTCACACAACGGTGCTGTACTCTGATGGTAAAACCTGTCAAGTCGAGATGACGCTGTCTAGATGAGTCGACAAGTTGATGTGAAGTAGCAAAAGTGCCAAATACCTCCCCGTCGCTGCACTGCCCCTGGAAATTCACCTGACATCTCACAATAGGGCAACAGAGAACATACCTGACTAACGCTGATGACAACAAGAACGAAAATCAGAAGTTCCATAATGTAAGTTTCATGTGATGATGGAGGATCAGCGAGGATCAGCTCACAGGACTCTTATATCGCAGGCAATCCTTATGTCTTGTTTTATAGCCCGTTATCAGTCACGTTCACAAAATTTGAATTTCACAGCCGATTGAAATACAGTTTGGAATTTTTATGGCAGCTCAATCAGGTCACCATTCCGAATACTGTCATCCGTTTTTGGCTTGGATAAGCGGCAGTCCATATAAAGATATAGTGTAGTTCGCTGCGGACGGTTGGGCTGTGTTTGGCTCTGTGCCAAACCCGTTCTCCAGCAGTTGTTAAAGCGAGCAAGTGATATGACTGTATCATATCGTTCGTATTACTCGTTTTCTACCACTTTTTTGTCGCATGCGCGCTTCAACAAGAAGGCAGAGAACGGCTCTGACGGGGTGACACACATACTGCCACACGCCTAACCGTCCGCAGCGACCTAGAGTGTACCTTCCTCAATTGAAAGCTTTAGTTGACGGGGTTCATGTGTGAGTTCTCAGGTAGTAATCAAATTGTTAATCAAGGCTACAGACAAACACTAAAAAACGCTTTGAGCAGGGCCTCAACACCTGCATCTGAAAAAGCGAGACTACGTGCCAAATGAGAAGGCAGCGCGACTATGGAATAGTAGGAACACGGACAAGACTTGGTCTCACGGCTTGGTCTCTCTCACGATCTCTTGAACGTAGCGCCGTTCTCATCCATAGACAAGTGGAATATCCTCTCTATATATAAAGCAGTCACAGCCACAAATGTGTGGGGAAAATTTCTTTCGTTGACTATCGATGACCAAAG